GGGATCGATAGCTTATCTTTGGCATATGATATTGTTGGTCCAGATGAACAGCCTGTGGGCCTGGCACTTCGGAAAATGATTTGAAAGTGCCCAATGGCCAATATACAGATTCAGTTTCGGAGATACAGGCGTGCTCGAAATCAGTTTCACCTTTTTACTCCCTTCTCTTCCCTCCTGAACTCTACTCTAAAACACCCTCGTCCTTATTTAGATTAGTTTGTTACAGAGATGTGAAATACCATGTAACACAAATTACATGGGCGGTGGGATGACTTCGGCGATACGAAATCAATAAAACGGCTTCTACGTCAAGATGAATCACTTTCATATACCACACCTTATATGATTCTATATGAGGTCCTCGATAACCTATAAATCACAACTTCAGTTACCGCAGAAGGCAAGAATGCTATGGGTCTAGACCAAAGACAGACAAAGTCATGACGTAGATAAATTCTTACCCAGGTTGCAAGGCATGCACGCATACGTATAAGTATTACAGTTATACGCACTACCTACCTACTATCACCTCAAGTGCTCGCCACAACTTTCGCGAATCTCGAAGATAAAAAAGGCTTCCAAGGTTTCCCTTCTTTTTTTCCTCCATCATCTTCCAAGGTTACATTGTACGAATGGATGAAGAAAACTTAATTCGATCGCTTGCCAACCAAACGCCAGCTCAAGCGCCTCTCGTCGAAATATTGAGACAATACCTATCTCTTCAAGAAGCGGTCCAGATTCTTGAGCAGTTTCAATCTGATAATTGGCTTCCAAACGGTCAAGTGCTCTGGAGTGGAATGCTTCGTGAACAGGCCCAACAATGGGCTGATAGGCATCGACTTCAGACTTTGACCACAGCAATGGGGCCACTTATGGATGTAAAACACTCAAAATGCTTGAAATCGAGGAAGAATTCTGAGCAATGGAGTAAATATGTCCATGGTGCTTCCGCGATATTTGCCTGGCGCATAGCCAAGGGTGAAGAGGTAACGCTGCTTTCACCTCCACCACCAGAGCGATTTCATCCGTCGGGTCTGTCTTACTACCAAGTCATCGAAGAGCCCATAATTCGAGGATTATTTGGTCAGAACGCGGTCCACAGAATCAATATTGTTCATCCTTTGATCAAGGAAAGTGATGGATTTTTTTACGAGCTATGGCCGAATGACAGAAGCAATAAATGGGTGGAACGATTTGGATTAAGGGCTTGCAAGATGGAATGGAGGCAAGTAAGACACAGCGAGGATAAAACAAAATTGCAAAGCTTGATAGCTTTCCCGAAACAGCACCTCTCTTCTACTGAGGATTTCAAAAACTTTGAACAACACAAGGTACGCCATTTTAGATCTTTTGTCATCTCCAGCGAATTATCGCTTACAATGTTATCTTTCATCTAGGTTGCCTATATTAGACCTATCTACAGTATTTCACTACTATTGGTGTTCCTGTTTACTCTACAAAAGATACCGGTAGTGATATTGTTTGGTTTGCTATACTTACTTCTCGAAAAATCGTGGGATGAGAATAATGCAACAAAGGAAGACAAATTGATACTTGAAAGGTCAGCGGCTACTCCAATTATGATTTCAGCGGAAACTACCAAAGCCGAACAACCTACCGAAACTTCAAGACAGGGAGCGAGTTGTGAAATGAAAGCCCGCGTAAAGAGTCAGAAGAAGGCCGCGAAGAAGATAAATAATGAAAAGAAAGCTCGCGCGAAGGCACAGCAAGAGGCTATAAAGAAGCTCAAGGACGAAAAGAACACCTCCCATAAAACACAGCAGGAGGCCGAGAAGAAACTCAAGGATGAAAGGAAAAGTTGCGCAAAGGCACAGAAGAAGGCCGCGAAGAAGATGAAAAATGACAAGAAAGCTTGCACGAAGACACAGAAGAAGGCCGCGAAGAAGATAAAAAGGGAAAAGAAAGCTCACCCGAAGGCACAGCAAGAGGCTGCGAAGAACTGAAACCTCTTGCTGTGAAGAACTTAAACATGTAACAACAATTTAAGGATATCACGCACTCGTAATACGGGCGCTGTTTTTAAGCTATTATTTATTACCGTATTGCGATACAGCCAAGCATGTGGGTCAGAGGTAGACTAATCACAGAAGGAATGGCTTCTGGCAAAGTAGAGTTTGAGAAAGAATTAAAGAGAGTAAAGAGGTGAAACTGATTTCGAGCGCGTCTGTACATACATCGTCTAATCGCTTTTCATAAAAGTCCGGCTCCGTGCAAATGGTTATCTAATCCAGAAAGCAAAAACGTGAATTTTCTTTTACTTCGGAAGGGCCGAGATCATCGATTCGCGGCCTATCTTGTTCGTTGTTTCATCAAACCGTGAATGGAAATGGGTTCTATGGGATGCATATGCGAGATGCCTGAGCTAGGTTCTGCGAGAGATTTAAAATACAGCGATGATTCAGTAAATGGAAGTAGCCGTGACTTGTTCAGCCACTTTGCACTTGCATAGCTAGTCAGCAACACAGGATATCACTTAGAATGTGAGCTAAGTTTTTGGTATTGACTAAGCGCTATTACTTGAATCATTTGTTTGTATGGTCAAGTCTGAAAGTACGCTAGACTCCAAAACTACCCAACGCTGGTCTAAGACGTCTATTGCAACCGTCAGGTTCAGATCCAGCGTGTGGTAGGATTAACCCGCGGGACATTCCACTGTTGTTTCCAAGCTTGTTCGGCCTGGGCTTCCTGGCTCCGGGATTGCTCTACAGCAACAAACAGTTTGCGGATTGCCTGGAACACGCGGCTATTGCCAAGCGGACTTATCTCTGGCTCGAAATGATACTGCAACGTCAAATCTTGCGAAATTTCAAAAATGACCATTGTCAAAGAGAGCAAACTCTTGAAACAAGAGCGATAGAATTCGTTTTCATTCTCTTGTTGGTCCCGTTGACAGATTCTCTCTTCCCTCAACTCTTGAAATGACAAGCGACTTCCTGACTTGGAGTATTTCAAACGCGTTCGAGTAGTCTCCAGCGCCATCGTAGAGCCTCGAGCTAATGCGATCTGGTGGTCCAGAGAATTAATTTCTGGCAGATCGTGACGGATCGGAAATCTCATTGGCTTCGAATTGCATGGTAACAAATGTTCTGGACATTGAGTCGAGCGGCTATATATGCTTGACGCATCATCCGCAGGTAGGTGCTGCCTTGTATCTTCAGTAGGCATTTTCAGAGCAAGTGGCAAGCCGTATAGCTTGCGACTCGGGATGCCATTATGTACCTAAACCACAGGCCCACAAGGTGCGAGTAGTCACGTGCCCGTGAGTGCTCTTTCCTGCGGCGATCGTCGTGGCCCTCAAAATCCCCACTCTGCATGATCTCGATTGGAAATATGAACCCAACACAACTTACTGCGGACTGGTCATTGTTTCACTTTCCACATTTATTTTTTTATATGTTTTTCTGTTGTTTTTGGTTCACACAATATCCACAGCTATACAGCTGTCAGGCTACGTTGCTAGAGGAACTGTAATTGTACAGTCGGCTTGATGAACCATTAGAATACAAAGGAGCGGAGAGAAAATAAAGAGCCACAGAAAGAGATCATCCCGACGAGAGAGCTTTCTTTAGTGGAATCAATATCTTCGCAAGTACCGTCACAGTACTGAGAATCATGGCACAAAATTCACTTTCGATCCATGGCAGGTCATAGCCCCCATACCGGCGCTTTGAAATAGCTCGAAAATATCAGAACGTCTAACATTTCCAGTCATTGGCTGAGATCCTGCTGCTTATGAGGCTAGCGCGAAACCATCAGTCTACAGTATTACAGGAAAGATCAGAACGAACTACGCGTTGTACAAAGAAGACAACTTATAGGCACGAGGGCCCAGGTTTCCAAGCCCAACGGCCTCTAAGAATGGGGAACATACCGATTTTGGGAAGACAAGTAATATATCCAGCAGCAACAACATTAGGCAAATCTTGGAGTTCATAAGAAACGCGTCCCATTGGAAGATTTAAAAAGCCATACCCATGGTGCAAAACGAAAGATAGCAACAACGCCTTAAAATTTCTGACCACATGCGCACCTTGGGCCAGCCAACGCATAAAGGTGGATATAAAATCACAGCCGCCGTTTTTTGTGCTCTAGGGCAGGTTCTTGAAATTCTACTTGCCGCTTGGCCCGTGGGGGGCAGTAACAATTCCTTTTTGGGGGCCAGCAATCAACTAAATGATCTTCACGACCAAAGTGGGAATTTGCTTGTTGATCTTCGAGGAGCTCCTGCACTGACTTAGGAAAGCCGCCAATTCTTTGAAAGAACGAAGAACCAGCAACCCCAATTGTTGTCATTTCGTCAAGTCCATTGACGGAAAAGTTCACTTCTTTGCGATAGTATCCACATAGACGGCAACTGTCATCTTCAACGACGTCTCCGAGATGGTGACCCCGGGCTGTCTGGAACCTTGCGCCCGGAAATTCCACCATGACCTTCTTCACCAGATCCTTGGCATATGAGCGAGAGCACAGAATCGACCCATGACAGAAGTAGACCCCATGTTTTTTAATTGGCTGTCCATCGAGTTCAAAGAAGAAGAATGCAGTCACTAGAATAGCTCTCACTAGCTCATCTGGAACGGCAAAACGCATTTTAGACATCTCTGCTAGTCTACTCACATCATCCAGCCGAGGAAGAGCTTCTGAGACCTCGTGATTCAGGCGGAAAATATTTGGTTTCTTGTCATCTGGCACAAGATTGAGTGCTTCATGAAACCCCTGCTCGCCATCCATGGACGGAGAAGACAATGTTGCTCGGATCATGCGAGGTATAGCACTATCTCGCCAAAAGCTCCGAGAAGCTTTATCTTGCTTAGCCATAAAGGAAGAACGCCCTGTTCCTACTGACAAGAGCAGATCATGCGTTTTGGCTAAGGGCCAGATGACAGTTGACTCTTTGAGGCCAATCGCTAAGGGATTGTTGGCGCGAACTCCACCGTCTTGTAACAATCCAAATCCTGGAAGGGATTTCGTTCGAAAGATGCTGTTTCCGATTAGCTCCCATGATCTTCAAAAGCTTAGTGAGCACTTACAAGGGAGCGGCAATACTGCACTGAGCTCTGTGAGCGGCAATCGTCAGTAAATACTGTCACGCGTAGTTTTCGGCGCTGGGCAACTAAATGATTCAACGCTACTTACGCGTCATGTAAAAAGGGATTTTCATTCTCCGTCCGAGGTGTTAAGAACTGATAAGCTGCCTTCAAATCACGATGGCCCTTCCCACGATAATTTGCCAAAACGCACGCTTTGCCATCGGAAATACGGCTTGTGATGATGGCTACTCGGCAACCGGCGGAAGTCTTCATAACATCAAAAATTCGACGTTGGGGGTCCACAACTTTCTGCAGGATACTCTCAAGGTTTTCCGAGTCGTACTGGCAGTCGGCTAGAAAGCCTGCCAGGTATTTGACTATTTTAATATAGCGAGGTATCGGGGATCTTGATTCTGATTTAGAAGATGATTTAAAAATCATCTGAGCAAGCTCGGGGAATTTAGCGTAGCTTTCTTCTGCAGAAATATTGTTTAGGATTATGTCCATTTCTGAAAGCGCCCCTGGCTTGTTTGTCAGTTCTCTACTTTCAAATAGTGCATTGTTGCAATGAAAGAGGAACATACCAACGCTTGTCCCTATACACAAATCAGAAATCTGCGCTATTGATATGCCCCCAAGTCGCCTTTCGAGTTCTCGTAGTAACCCTAGCTGAAGGATACCACGAACACCTCCCCCATCTAGGCTTACCACAATAGGTCGCTTGGTTGGTGGAAGTCGGCGAACTGTGAGTTGGAGTGATTTATCACAAATAGGGCATTTGGATAGATCAGTATGGTATTCTGCGCGCGAACTCGCAGTTCCAAACATTACAACGCAAGTATCACAGATTGCGTGTCTGCAAGGCAGCATATGCTCTGGCGGCCGACACATGCAAGAAAAGCAAGTTGTTGTCGAATGCAAACCTCCCCATCGGTGATAGAACCGTGCAAGAGACTCTCGACGGATAGCTACTGAGGTTTTCTTCGGTCCCAATTGAGCGAAGCTCATGATAAATTGATCGACAATGTTTACACAGGCTTTTTCTGAACTTTCCGGCCAGGCATCCCGACAGTAACTGCGATAAAGGGCGTTGAAAATCATCTCTGGCTCGAACACTATTGTCATCAGCATTGTTATGAAGCAAAGTGTTTTACAGTGGCAGAGTAATGTTGCAAGAACGGAAATTGCTTACAGTGCATCTCAGGCGGATACGCATCCAGTAGGAGAGCCGAGGCGATGAAGTTATAAACCTCACTTTCATGGCTTGCAAAACTTTGGATTTGGCTCTGAAACTCGACTAAGCAACTAGCAATTGCTTTATCATTTGTCTGAGCACTTCGCGCGACTGAAAGACAGTCAAGGTTGGCCGGGTTCGATGCTTTCATTTGAAGTTGAATATTTCGGCCCCACAATGCATTAAGGTGCACGGCTGAAATGGAGAGGCAATTTCTTTTGTGTTCCTTTTGTATTCCCTGAACTTCATCAAGAACTAGGCGTCGTAATGGCTCAAAGGCAGCGTTGGAAGACAATGCTGACCGGTCCCGTATATTCAAAATTGTAACTTTGTGTTGGCCAATCCATGCAGCAGGTGTCTCAACCCCCAATTCCTCCTCATTAATTTCAGATCTTGAGTTCTCTGACAGGACAATCACCACGCGCATCAATCTCTGAATCTTCTGAGTCCCAATTGACAGGGTTCCAAACGGCGCATCCAGCAGCTGCTGTACGTCTTGCATTTCAGAGACTGTATCAACAAAAAGACAGAGAATTTGAGTCCACGGCAAGACTTTTTGTCTAATCACTTCTTGTTGAAGCTCTGCTAGAGGCTGAGACTCTCCAGGGGAGATAGGATATCGTTGATGGTTTTCTCCAGACCATCTAAGCAAGGAAGTGTCGCCCACTCCAGCGTGACTGAAAAGGTTACTCTCCGCAAAAATTATAGGATTTTCAGTGTGGGCGGTCGCTGTACTGAGATGAGCACGGATGATACCAGTGGGTCCTTTGCGAGTGATGTTGTTGCGAGGGAACAAAGCCTGGAGGGCCTTGATGCGATTCCCGTTGCCAGCGAAGTAGACAAAGGAGGGATATTGCGACTTGGGATGACTCATTCCTTGGACAATTTCGTTGAGTCGCCCGGTATCTACCAAGGACCTGCCTGTGGTATCGGAGCAAAGGTCGAGCCATGCTGCCATTGTAATGTCGAGTGTTGCGTAAAACGATGAACATTAGATATCGCTTGTCCTTTTATATAGCTTGACATCTCATCTAAGGATAGTTGAGAACAGGCTTGTCATCAAGTACTTGAGGCCGCCATTCAGGGGCCCTATCATAAACAACATGGCTGACCCTCAGAATTCTCTATAGGTATGCTCTGAGTTGAACGCCACTATTAGTAGACTGCCATTTCAGAAATATAGGATGGCCTAGTGACCAGTAATGGTTAATATTGTTTCTGATGTTCTTTATTCTTCATCCAAAACATTCCGCGCGATACGATTGCAAATACGGCCTACTAATACATACAGGGTACCTCATATATTAGAATGTTCACATTAAATGCTCCAAATTTTGTGAGGTGCCTTTGGTTTAGAATGGCCAAGAGTGAATCGGGATTAACTAACGCATACAAAAAGACCAACAAATCTACAACAGCAATATAAATAACAAATCCCATTTCCCTTTTGTCATATTTTCAATTTATATGGTTCCAAAATCATTGAGCCCCATGCATTTCAATGTTCCAGAGGTTGCGCGAAGGCGAGTGGGCCATACTCTGCCTGGTTTCAAAAAGAGTATACAGCACGCAACTACTCCAACCAGTCAGAACCATGATACACCTTACACAGTGATGTTGAAAGAAGAAGCCCAAATGGATTGGAGGTATAATCTGTTGGTCAGCATCGCGAATTGGGCCTTGCTGGCAGGATATTTGGTAGTCCCCGGAACCTTTACTTCGCTGAAGGAATCAAACCAAGTGGAAGAAGTTTTAAAAAAAAACACTGCCGGGCAAGCTGTTTTGCACACCATTCAAAATCCCCCTTTGCTCGTTATTGCGTGCCTATTTCTTGTTGGTGGAGCTGCTGCATTGATCATGCTTTTCCGGGAACACCAAAGCAGTTATACATGGCTTGTGAACAAGGTCTTCATGTAAGCATAAACCATGAAAGTGTAGTTGCGTTGAAACTTGAAATTGACAGAACTGCAGGCCTGCTGCGTTAAATGCAGCCGCTGGACTTCTCACCACGCTCGTCAACGTTTACACCTCCCGGTCAGGTCACTGGTCTGTGATGGCTATTGTTACAATCGTAGTTACTGGGGCTTTGTTGATTGTGTTTTCATTACTATTCACTTACTATAAGTTTGTCAAGTTGAGGAGGGTGATTCTAGATGATGAAGAGAGGTTTGAAAATCAGAATCATGGCATGGCACACTCCACCGGCCAGTTCAGTGCCAGTGACGTGTCATTACACGTGACCGGTGACGCGAATTCAAAAGCTGACGACAAAAACAATACATTTTAGACGATTGCACATTGTTGTGTACTTGAGTGCGTCGATATGATGAGCTCTAGCCTTTGGAGCAGTTCAATTTCTCTCTTAATTGCCAAGCTGATGATCACCGATCCCACAAAAGCTGCTGGTATTGGAGGCTCTTTTTTATATAAATATGCAGTTGATTTATTTGTTGTGCGCAATAGCCAAGTCTTGAGTCAGGTACGTAGTGGGCTTATCCCTTTATTAAAATGTTGCTCGTGCATGTTTTTGACACGGCGATCATGTAGACTGCAGTCTACCAATGTACGATGGTGGAGCAGTGCGTAAGTATAGGAGCAGAGAATCGCACCATTACAGGCCATTTACCATTGGAACAGGGAAATTGCGATGAGCAATAGTCTGCCTTCACTGAAAATGAAGTTTGACAAATAATAGAATTGAAAAAAAAGGTAAATATTATTTCGCTCCTCCCTGTAATGGGACGTAACTCTTGAAAGACAACTGAAATTACAGTATGGCAGTGTCGAATAGCATGTGTACTTCTGAGTACTGTACCTTGGTGCACAAAAGGCTACCACGACTCACCCTGGTGTCTGTTCGTCCAGGGCGGGACGTCTATCAAACTTTCAAGTCGAAATAATTTGTCTTGGTGTTACTTCTGCTGTACCGGATTCAAAGCCAGGCAATTGAATTTTCTATTTTCTAAATCTCCAATCTCAAAATACAGTCTGGCATGCATTTATATCCAACTAAATTGCAGAAATACAGCCAAAAGCTGAATATTACCACAGATGGGGATGCCCGTTGCCAGCAACTCAAGCCTCCCATATCTCTCGAACTTGATTGCTCATTCTGTCACTTCTTTCCCGCCCAAGAGCTCCATCTGCCTCTTGTAGTAACTGTATGTCGCCAGTAACTCATTTTCCTTAATTTCACGCTCACCATCACTCATCTTGACCCAGTCCCAGCCACGTGCTTTGGCTTTGTCTTCAAGGTATGTCTTGACGCTGAACGTGACCACTTGATTATCTGAGCTTGGCTGCTCGCCTTGAGGGGCACTTGTGCTTCCAGCTTCTGATTTGTTCGCAGAGTCTCTATTGGAGACAAATAATTCGTCTTCGCTGTCCAGTTCCTGCTTCATTTTGGCTGAAATGGACGGCTCGCCCATTCCCACCGCTGGTCGCTTCCCTAGCATTCGCTCTGACTGGCCTGACTCTGGCAAAGTATTTCTTGCACCGAGACCACGTTCAATGCTTTTCAAAGGCAGCTCCGTAGCTGTGAGCTCTTGCTTTACCCTTTGACTCTTACCTGCCCTGAAGGTATCCAACGGACAAGGAGTGGGCGAGCGATCGGGACTGTCTCTTCCCGTCTGACCTTGCCAATGGTTGTAACGTTGCTCCTGCTTTTCCCAGGCGTCCGAAATCTTTTGCTCTGCTGTGTTCCTGTCCGTCAATCTGACGAGGTCTGCGCTGGTGATCCAGCAGCAGCCCCTTGTCAACAAATTTTGATCGGCCTCATCGATGTCTTGCCACTTGATTTTGACGTAAGCAGTGGGAGCTGACTTGTAATCTTTGGTCGTATCTTTTCTTTCATGGATTGCTACACCAACGATACCGACGATGTTATTTCTGGTATATCGCTTATGCTCTTCGCCATCTTGACTTTCGTATGTGACGTGCGAGATTCGACTCTTGAGTTTCGATATTTTTTGCAGGCCAGTAGTGTTGTATCCGTTGACGGTCTGCACGCGATATTTTGCCGCTTTTTTGGGCCCATATCGAACCAGCAGTACGAGTGATCGTCCTAGACGGCTCCAGGCGTCGGGTTCTCCATTTTGATCTCGACCGATTGATAACTTTTTGAGGTCAACCAGGACCTCATCTTCCAACTGGTCATTGACGTTCACTGGGGAAGGGGGTTCTGAGTCAGATCCTTCCATATCTGTGTCTTGTTGCTCAATAGGAGCAGCTCCATTGGCACCGTCAGTGCCAGACTGTCCGTCTTGAGAATTATACTGCGGTTTCGACTGTGACTGAACCGGTTGGCTTCTATCAGAAGTGGCTGTCTCAGTACCTTCACCGGACTTTTGTTGGTGGTACGATGCTTGTGCGTCCGCAGCATTGGCCTTCGCTTGGGGTATTTTTCCCTCGGCAAGTCTCTGGAGATTTGACACATTGTAATCCTTTTGCGGCTGGTCTCTTGTGCTGTACGACTTAGAAATTCCATTTGTATCTGATTTTGAGGAAGACATCGCTCGGTCTAATCAAAAAGGCTTATTGGGTCCGATTGATTTCCACAGGCGGGAAAGCTGGGATTACTTATAGCTTTTTAATCTTGAAAAGTCCATCTGTCTTTTCGCTATATCTAAGATAACACCACCCGCAGGAAATGAAGGTTTCTACCGAGTCCACACATTCTAAAGGGCTTACCGGACGCAGTTTATTGAGGATGTTACCGATAGCAACAAACAAGCAAGGGCAGGGCTTGATATTTGGTGGACCTAATGTTGACGCTATAATGGCAACGATATGCGGTTTTCGGCCCGAACAAGAAGTTGTTGAACCACATAGAGCATAAAGGGATTTCAGGCAAATGACGCCTTGTCCCATCACGATTTGGTCTTTTATGTCTTTCTTACAGACACGCTCGAAATTACTTTCAACAATTTGTTCTCTTTGATTGCTTCTCAACCTCTGTTTCTAGGCCTAATGTGGCTAGTGGATTCTCATTACCCATTTATTATTCGACAGTAATTGATGGGCTCGGCCAGATATAGGCCGAGGTGGGTCTGGCCAAGATTCAAGAAGGAACCAAAGATAATAAATTGGTGAAACTAATTTCGAGCGGACCTGTACAGTACAGTAACCAGCTATTTGTTCTTGTCTTTATTTGCATTTCTAGTATGTACTACAGTATGGCCTGGCATAGCTTTTTCGGCTTCATTGAAAGCTCTGTACTGTATCATTTTGAATGAGGTGTTTGGTTTTATTGCATGATTGTAATTTATCGTGAACAGAGGATTCTGGCAGCAATGCTTATAGTCATACATGACATTTATGCTTTTACTGGATACCTTCAGAGAATGTCCAGGGGTACCATTATAAACCGCATCGACTGGGGGCTATCACAGACCTCGTGGGCAGTTGCCTCTGGCATCTCGGAGGTTCGAGTCGTATCTGTAAACTTAAAAGCTTCGCGAGCCGAGAAACTAGGTTCCACTTGGGAGAACTCCTCGCAGGCTGACTGAGCGTGGCGTGCCTGGTCAACAAAAACGTGTACTGAGGTTCGTAGCTCTTGTGCCACATGGTAGACGGAGGAGAACTCGTCTTCAAATGAAGCTGAAGCACCGGATTGATGGAGGCGTAGGAGATCCTCACGCGCCTCATCGGCTTTGTCCTGGAGGTGCTTGAAAAGAGAGTAGCAGGTTCGAAGATAAACGTTTTCTCCTTGCTGTCGGCCGATTTGTCGAACAATATCGACGATTTCTTCCATAGTAGAGTAGCGTGATAGCCTTTTGCCGCAAAGAAGATGTAACAATATTCTTTCGCGAGCGTGTTGAATCTATAAAGCAAGCTTCACTGGCTAGTATTGCATTGTCTGACATGGAGGTCGCGGGTGGTCTATTCTTGACTACGGCCGGTCGAACAACGTAACACCATCATGAATTCCCCATTATCGGGCTCCATTCAAGTATCATATATTTCGAATATTGGGGAGAGCTTTCAATGTGTGCTTTCGCGAAGCGATGGCTGGGCGAAAGCATTTAGTTACGGCATAGCTTAGATGCTCGACCGCCTTGATATTGATGGTGGCAAAAGCCAGCGGCACTGAACGGCTCTCACCGGACGCATCAGATCTGATAGCAATTGGTGTTTTGAATTGCGAAATTTTGAAAACTCCAGCAGCCAGCTAGAGCATACCGTCGGGTGAAAGACGCCAGCGCGAGACTGAGGAAATGTGGTGCCTAACCCAGCTCAGGCCCGATTGTCAGACATAGATGACTGTGGAGTTAATGAGGCATGTTATTTTCGAGCCCAGTTTTATCTTCATATAGTTAATGGGCACTAACTTCTTATTTTGCGTGAGGAAACCGTTTATCACCTCAATTTAATCACCCTCTCTAAACCACCCTCTCTAAACCACCCTCTCTAAACCACCCTCTCTAAACCA